TGTTCTTATAAGGAACAGAGCTCCTAATAAGAACAAATTCATTTATTCGCAAACTACCGCTGATTGCTTTTTTATTTCTCGAGATATTTGAGTTTTTTTTGCATCATCTAACGGAACAAATATTTCTATACTAGAAAATATAAAAAAATTTCAATTTTCATATAAAATTATTTAGTGAATAATGAAATTCTTCGCATCTCCGAGATAGCTGTTCTTATTAGGAACATTGCCTGTACCATTTCCAACGAAAAATGGATGTTCGCGTGTTACATACAATCGGTTTTCTCCTATTTGTACTTCCATATATTCATCAACTTCATGCTTAAACAAGTCTTCAACAACTGTTGTAACAATATCACCAAAAGTAGTAAAAGCTAGTAAAACATCACCTAATTGAACATCACTAATACGTATTTCACTTCGATCAACACGCTGAACGAGTGTATCTGGTAAAAAACATGCTTTCAGATGTTCTATTGTAAAAATTGTTGTTCCAGAGGTGATTAATGCTTTACATTTATTGAATTCGTCTTCATTATTTATATCAAATTCTTTTCCATGACATACAAAAGAATAAAGAAAACTTGTATTATTATAAATATTATCAGCCACTCTCTTAAAATCGTCTAGAGTAAATTGTGTGGGTAAGTTGGCTACAACTGGCTGTTGATCATTGAGTTGAAATTGAATAGATATTGATGTCATTTTAATATTAATTCAATGTTTATGTAGTCTGCACAATTGTTCTTTCCAAAGAACTTTTAATTCAGTATTCTCTTCTATGAAATAATATACGTTTGTGAATGCCGGAAATTATAGGTATGAGTCTAGGCATGAATGAATAAATAAAAGATCGTCACTCAAAAAGTCTCTCACGCCCACTTTAGCATCTTAAAATGAACAAGAAAAAAAAATCCATTTGAAATGCAGATATGAAGAGGATAGGTTGTTTCTTATGCGAGTGATTATCCTTATGAAACAACGACAGTCTTCCACACAGGCTTGACACTTTACGCATTTTTTAGAGAAATATTGAAGGAAGCTAAAGAACACATGTGAGTTCCACATTTGAGCCTCACAAGGATTATCTTAACAAGTGTTCTACTACATTAAAAGGCGTTGTCACCCAACATACGAGTTGAATTATTCATTTAACATTTTTATAAAATAACTTGTCATTTCCAGAAAAGAACGCACTATCAATACTGTGTTCTAACGCCTTACTAAAATTATTCAGTTTTTTGTACAAAACAAAACACTATAAAACACAACAAATATATAAAAACAAACGTCTTAACGTGTGAAAATAAAAAACTTGACGTTGAAATGCTAATCTGTAGAAACATTTTTAAGACATCAGAAAATATTAGAACTCAAAAAACTCTGAAATTACTCTATCGAGCAAGAGCAGCGAAAGTAGTTATTGATCATGCAAACTTACTTATCGATCTCTTTTGAATGTGTTGCTTTGCTTGAATTCACTGTCGACGTGCGCAGAAATGCTGCCAGGAAAAAAAATATCAGCACTACTAGGAAGAAAGAACGAAGCCGAAACTCACTATGTCAACAGTAATTTGAATTTGGTGAATATTTTGTAAGAACACTTGACGACGTTCGCTCGTCAGTATATGTTGGAAGAAACAAATGCAAAGGATCTCTTAGAATGACGAAATACTCTTTTATGCAGCTGAGAAACAAAACAAAAATTCATTTGTGAATAGTAAATAACGAGTAAAGGTGCCGTTGATGCATGCACGGTACTTTTTCTCCTTCTATCGAAAGCAGAGGAATACTGCATTTCATTTCAATCCATTCAAGTAAACAGAGGGAGAAAAAAAAACTGGCGTCTAGTGTGACTGCTCGCGAAAATATGTCTCTTCATACATTCTCCCAAAGAATAGATGAGATTGAAGACTTTGATGGACGACGATCATGTCAGGCTTGAGCACCAATACATTTTTCTCTGCATATTCTTCGCATCGTCTTTTCGATCATCTGTGATGTTTGAACTGAGCAAAGGAAAAGAAACCGACACAATATCCATGACACGCTGGCCAATAGTGAATAGTATTTGCATGACGAGACAAAAGTGAGGAATTGAAACTTAGTTTTGTCTATAAAACAATTGGAGCCAACATTATTTACAATTCTGCCAGTAATAAGAATGCATCAAGTCCAAACGATTTGTGTTTGGGTTTTTATCCGTTCTGACATAGTATTGAAGTATTAGTCTAAGAGTTAGCATGGAACCTGATTATTTTTCTTTGCAAGTTTACTTTGTATTTTATCTCAGCTCACGTTGTCACATTTCGAAATCCCCTCAGCAATCGGTGAAATTTTTTCAATCACTGTGAATGTGTGATCTAGATGAAATGAATGTTTCTTTCTCTGTTATCTTTTTCCTATGACCGTTCTTTTTCATTTTTTTTTACTTAAAATAAACAAAAGAAGACAAGCACATATGTAATTTCATAATATCTGTTTTTAATATGTTTAGAAGTATTAATATTAACAAATTAACAGCTTTGTGATTTAAATCAAAATTATGTTACAACAAAGAATCCAAGATGTTCTTTACGAATCTAATTCTATATTATTACCTATTGAGGGTTATCAAAATGAACCTTTAGTGTCATTGGAAAAAGCAGTTGAGCCACTCGTCACTATTTTCGATCAAGAAACACTTCAAAGAAACGTATGGGTTGCGAAAAATCGTTGTAAGGAGCCAGCTGATGGTCTATCACAAGATGAATCAGCTTCGATTATGTTGTATACATTCGAATGGAATACAAAAGAAAATAGTCTATATTTTATTCTTAATCAAACTTTACGTATGGAAGATAGACAAAAACTCAAACCATGGTTTCTATATTTAAAACTATTTATTACTGCACTTTCTCGACTTCCATCGATTGTTGACACTGTTTATCGAGGTGTAAAAACTGATTTAACAGGTCAGTATGAGCTTAATACTAATTCAATATGGTGGGGTGTTAGTTCATGCACAGACAACATGGATATCCTCCAATCTGAGCAATTCTGTGGTAAAACAGGTCAACGGACTATCTTTGTGATTAAATGTCTTAATGGACGATCTATTACAAATCATTCGTATTACAAGCAGGAAAATGAAATTTTATTAATGCCAGGAAGCTATTTTCGAGTAGATGGTAGATACGATCCTGCTGATGAAATTCACATGGTACAACTTCAAGAAATAAGACCACCCTATGGATTATGTGCATTTCCTGTGATCAATCGCTGGCATGGTATAGCACCTGGAATTTGTCTAGAAGGCAAGTGTACTAATAAAAAATGCATCGCGTATCAACAAGAAGTTGTTATTTCCATTGGTTTTAGAAAATTTGATGTTCTTGTTGATTCGAATGCATCAATTGTTAAATGTCCAATGTGTTCAACTTATATTGAAATTCTAAAAGTAGGTTTTAAACATTGTCAATGGCGTTGGCATGGTATTAGACAAATAGTACCATATGAAGAGCCCACACGTTGCATGAAAGACTGGTCTTACACTAATGAGTACTCAATGTTTGAGCATGATATTCAAGGAACAAGCGTTTGGTTACAATTAATTATTGAAGCAAAACCAAAATCGTAATCTTTTAAATTCTATGCTGAAATAGTGTGACAAAGACAAAAGTTATTTATGAAAATAAAAAACAAATTAGTACTGCAAATTTTGTAAGCGGATGAAACAAAGATAAAATAGAGGCTGTTGCAATCTGAGAGAAACTACTTAAATTCTAAGTAAAGGTGACTGACAAAAAATTTCTCTAAAATTACAATTAAAATTATCATGTTCGCCTGATTTTCTTATTTAATATTTTTGGAAAATTAAAGCTAATTGATTTTAGTTTGTACTGATACACATATGTATTTCGTGGTCATATTGGCACCACTTCAATCGTTACTACAATTGTGTGAAAAGCAATAAGAAAATATTATATTTAGACTAATATTTTATTATATGTAAAAAACTTCACACAGAATAGAAAGTTTGGTTACAAGTGAATAGTAAAAGAAAAAGGAGTCATGGAGGATAGAAAAAGAAAATAATGAAAACACCTAATATTGTGGTAGATACACTGAAAAAAAATGGTACGATAACGAACCAAAAAAGGTATTTTGAACGAAAAAAGGTTTCGTACATAGTACGGAACCTAAAAAGGTTTCGAATTCGTTGCAATTCTCTGAAGCATTTTAGGTTCGGTACAGATCACTTCGAAAAACTTGAAAAAGTGTCCTGAGACAATGACAATCAATTTTAGTCACCCAAAGTTTTGTACGAAACCTTTTGAGGGTTTCGTATTGTCTTCCTAAATGGTTCCGTAATCATAAAAATTTTTTTGTAGCGTACCGAACCATTTAGGAAGACAATACGAAACCCTCAAAAGGGTGTGGGTGTGTGTGTGGGTGTGGGTTTTGGGTGTGCGTGTGGGTGGGTGTGGGTGTGGGTGTGGGGCGAGGGCGTGGGTGTGTGGGTGTGGGTGTGGGTCTTCTCTTTACTATGCATACCCACACCCACATCCACGCCGCGTTCACTTTTATAGATGCACAGAAAAAGACACGTACAGAATGAAAAATTATGTAGACAAAGATTCAACAATAGGGAGAAACGCGGAAAAATTAGCTGTAGCATGCTTCAAAAAATTTTTGAAATTTTACATGTAAAAGAAAGAAGAAATATTTTTTTAATAACATATAATAGAAAAAAAATGATAATAAACGAAAGATAATTAGTACATGTGTTGTTATATAGGTAAAATAAGTTTTATATATTGATTTGATTCAATTAATAAGTCAGAATGAATTGATCAATTGAATACAATCGAAATAGAAGTGGTATAGCTTGACTAAATTGTGAAGACATAATATTTTTTAGCATTAAACTGGTATCAATATGCGAATTATGGTAAAAATGAAAGCAAATCAATCCAGAAAAAAATTGAGATAATTCGATTTTATAATAAAATGACAAAAAAAATATTATTCTTTCAAGTTGTAATAGTTTTCTTAATAACATTTTCATTGATATTATTTTTTTGTCTGATGATATTGATGAAGATGATGAAGTTATTTCTTTAAATAATTCAGTATCAAAATAAACAGGTGATGTCGTACCTTCAAAGACTAAAACGTGCGTCAGTGGTTTACCATAATTTTTTTTGCATTGGCTGACATATGATGATCTGTAGTTGTTTGTATTATGAACAAATAAAGATGTTGGTGATTGAATTGAATGCAGTTTTTTTTTAAAGGTGGCTTTTTCCATACACCCAAATCCTAATAAATTAATTTCAATTGATTTTGGCTTGAGACTTGGTTTTTTACATATATCAGCATACGTTGACCATTTGTCTGTATAATGTATCATTAGTTGTTTTGAGATAAAATTAAAAAACTTCAACGTAAAATCTGATTCATTAGCATCAAATCTTCTTGTTTCTAATCTATCTGATGTTATTAAATAGACGGAATCTAGCAATACCAATAACGACTGTAATGATTGTCGTTCATATATAAGATTAATATTGTTTTCCATATGGGACAATCGTCTATTCACGTTTTTTTCAATAATATCCAATCGTTCATTTACATTTTTTTCAAACGAACTAAATCTGTTCGAAAGATCCATTATCTTGTCAATAATAAATTTTTCAGATGACGATAAAAAACATAGATTATTACTTTCTAATATATTGTTATTAATTGAAATATTTGTTTTATTATTATTATTAGATTCATTATTTTCATTTTTATCATTAATATCAAATAATACTTCTTGTTGATGCTTATTATTATCATCAATTTCATCATCTTCTAATTCACCTACAACGAAAAATGATTCATCATCTAATTTAATAATATCATCAAATGTTGGTCTATTTGAATCATTATCATCGGATTCAAGAATTGTTTTATTATAATTTATTTTACGTGTTTGAGATTGTTCTGCATCAATAATAAATAAATCCATATTATTAATTATTGTTGTATTAGAATCATCTAATGCATCTTTTACTATTGAACCTTTTTGTTGTTGTTGTTCATTTTGTTCTTTTAAGAGAGATAATATACTATTTTTTTCGGAAATTTTCTGCTAAATCAATTTTGTTTTGAATATCATTGTCATCACATTGGCATAATAACACCTTTTCAAATATTTCATCACTTTTATCCAAAATATTTACGTCATATAAATCATATTTATTTGAACCTTGTGTTTTATTATCATAAAAAAGAAAACGACTATTTGCAGCATCTAATATAACTGTGTTATGTTCATTTTGATACATAATTCTTTTTAAACTATCAAGATTAAGATTGTTAAGAATTACTGGCTTTTTATTCTTTGTAAATAAAACACTTTTGAAGAAAACCATCTAAAAAGATTAAGAAACATGTACATTTGTTACATTTGAAAATAAAATCCGTATTGTACAAAATCAAAAAAAGATATTTTCGTCGAACATTTTGATTTGGTTATCCACATGGTACGTACGTACCTCCACGGCGACGAAGTGAATAATCAATATCGAAAAATGCACCAAGAGAGGGTGCCACATATCTTGCCACTTTTTCAAGAAATTTTGCTACTACATTTTGAACTCATCATGTGATTTAATAATTTCAGTAATAATAGTTTCACTGCATCCTTCATTTCTATCAATTTAGCATTAATAGTTAACACTAATGTTTCGTTATTAGCATTATTTTTTATTCTAATACATATGTGCTGTGTCAGCTATACGCTGCTATTTTGACATACTATTGTTTTTGTTGATTTATTAATGTTGTGGCAATATTTTTAAGAGTCACTCAAATATGATGTGTTTTATTTTATAATGAGTCGATGTGTATGGAAGAATGTCTTCGTTGAGCTGATTTATGAAAACTTTTCATACCTGTGGGTGGTGTATAAGATGCCATGATCATGATTTCGACCTTTCTCAAGGGTCTCGTCAGATGGCGTTTATATACAAACATACACAACGCTACGTTAACAAAGATTAACATAACCGCCGAGAATGGGGATCGAACCACACATCTCCTCGTTACCGGCGAGTTGCTCTACCAGTTGAGCTATCTCGACGCATGTCCATACAATGTTAATTTCGACAGAATGTGTATGTATGTACTACTCTGCACGTTATATGTGTTAATGAACCATACACATATTTTCGCTTATAGATGACGTGGTATTCCATACCTTGTACATCAGTCAGCTACTTATGTGATTATTCACACATATATGTATTTATCAGAGAATTTATATCGCATAGTGCGGGTGTTGTATAAGATGCCATGATCATGATTTCGACCTTTCTCAAGGGTCTCGTCAGATGGCGTTTATATACAAACATACACAACGCTACGTTAACGAAGATTAACATAACCGCCGAGAGTGGGGATCGAACCACACATCTCCTCGTTACCGGCGAGTTGCTCTACCAGTTGAGCTATCCCGACGCATGTCCATACAATGTTAATTTCGACA